GAAGCAAATGAGCCCCTAAAGASGAATCTTTATAATCAGAGGCCAGAGTCAGAGAGGTTACACCAAACAACTTGGGACATCTGAAATTCAGAGCTCAGAGGTTCATTCAGTGCAAACAAAGACCACCTAAGTAATCTTACCAAACAATTTACCCAAAGTTCTCTYTCCATTAGCTGCCTATATTGTGTCAAATTGAGCCAATTTGGTAGTTTGGGGGTTCAATGTCCTAAGAAAATAATGGTATATTAATATAGAAACTAAGCATAATTAAATCTCAATGTTCTCCAAATTTGTTCAATTCAATTTCATTACAAATAGAGAAAAAAAATGAAAAGACGAGGACTCAGTTATCAATTATCATATATTTGTCCCAGTTATCTCTCCCCTGAGGCCTGAATTGCTTGATCAAATAATCTGTGTCGATAAGGACAACATAAAAACCATCAAGGTTGGCCGGGTCAATCTAGCCCATCTGGGTTCCTATTACTTGTGCAAATCCAAACCTCAAGCTACTCCAATATATGGGACACATTTCTGGTAGGGGTGGAAGGTAGGCACAGGCCCAGCCCAAGCAAGAAAACTTTGGGCTTGATCAGGTTGGCCCAAGGGGATGGGAGCATAAACCCAGGCAGACTTGTATACTGGTCCTTTGGGCAGCCCAAACTTGTCAATAGAATTTAGAAATTAGAATGTATTATTAAAGAAAGGGGGTGTTCGACAACACGGTTGTTTTTGTTTCACCCCATCATCAAAAGAGTATAATTTTGCTGATGTGGTAATTATTTTTATTTTCAAAAACAAAAACAACCATATTGTCAAGCACCCCCAAAGTGTGCCATTACACTTGGGGTTCTTACTAAGGATCGAATTGAAATTTGCTCCTCACGGAGCGCACCTAACATTATCCTCACAGCATATGCATGGAATCCATCCAAAGTTGGGGAATATCTCCAGTACATGTATCTTAAATCCATGGAGAGATGTTCATGTGCAGCTGGACCATACTTTCAGAGTGTGCGCAGGGTTTATGCTTACAGGAGATTCCGTTGGATTTGCACAGTTTTTACTTTTAAAAAATCCGGGCTTGTTAAGACTCTGGATCTCCTGTCCACAAGAACTTTACGTACATGTACCCACATCACACTATCCCCATGCATTGGGAATATCTTCCCGTGCATAAAAATGAGATGTTCTTCATGTGTAACTGCGATATTACGTTAATAGATGTGGGCAGAATTCTTATGAGCAGGAGATCCAAACTCGCTTGTTAAAACAATATATACAACATAGAAAGCTAAAATAAAAAAAAAAAATTAAAAAAAAACTCATAAAATATACAAAGTCAGGATCTCAGTCTTGGTGTTAGGCTGAGAGAAAACTTAAGCACGGCCCAGGCCAGCTCAGCCCTAGTTTCCTGGTGAACTGGTTTGACTAACAGGCTAACATCACGAGTTTTATTTTATGAGAATGGCACTTAATTCTTTTTTTTTTTTTTTCTTGTAAATGAATGGCACTTAATTCAGTAGATGATATGAGAAGACAAACATAAGATTTTCCAGATAACAAATAGAAGAAAACCGAGCATTTGAAGTATTCAAAGCCCTAGAAAAGTGAATTACTTGGGACTTCTTTGATTGTGACAACTGATTCCAAGGGAATATGGAAAAGGAAAGGTGATGTATTCCAATCTTCCGAGTGATTGAATGTATCTCGAGTACAAACTAAAGCTGGTTTGGGGTTTGGCCACTGTTCCTCCTCACTTTGCTTTGTTTCCTTTGTTCTAAGATTCTCTCCCACCTGCTCATGTCAGGACTCATGGACAGGGAAAAAAAAAGCTCACAGCACCCCTATTGGATTAATGGAATTGCTTCATTCTCTTGCCATTCAACACTATATCAAATATCATTTAACATTTGTCTGAACCACCTCGGCACCTCCATCGTCTAAT